TGACTATTCAGGTTAGAAAATCTGTCATAGTGACTATAGATGCAGTGCTATGTACGAACCGAGATACGAACATTTTGATCACACACGCACACGCACACGCACACACACACACACACACACACACGCACGCACGCGCACACACACACACACAAATGCGCATGAGTTGTGGCCACAGCATTACTTATTTAGAATACAATTCTTTTCTTTCAAAACGCAAAAATTATATTAAAAATATAATTTATGTTTTTACAGCAGAGACTTTGTAAAGCAGAGAATTTTTGTTTGTAAAGAAAAGAATTTGTTTGTGTAAGAACAGAGTTTGTTTGTAAAGAAAATTCGTTTATAAACCTAGAATTGACTGTCTTTAATATCTCATTAATGGTTTTACTCATAAATTAGAATTGTATATTAATTAAAAGGGAAGATCATTGGCATACATCCCGATAATACACATCCACTGGCCGATGCCTAATTTTTCACTGCTTTACCAATGAGAATATTTTATTTTAAATTGGTCAGGTACATGATGTGCGCTACAGAATATCTCTCAATTGGAAGAGAATTGTACTCAATGAAACTTATGTAGTAAGAAATCACAAGTCAAACTTCTGAATTAGTTTACAAACAAATTTATAGCAAAGCGAAATAACGGACTCTTACCAGCATATCAAATATACAATTATTAAAAAAATCTATTGTTATAAAATTTATTAAATTCTCAATATTCTCAATTATCTACTATTATTTTTTATGTTTGTATGTAATATATGTTTACTTATATTAATTATCTCTTTTCACAAAGTCATTAAAAGGAAAAGCTTATAAAAAAATAAAAAAATAGCCAAATATTATAAAAGTTATATTTATTTAATAACATTAAAATTATTAGATCTATTAATAATGGGAGCTTTTCAATAAGAGACACAGGTAAATTTCAATAAGGACACAGATTACACGACACCCTTAATTGGATTTGATAACATTCGTAGTTACCGACCAGTCATTCCATTTTTCAGAAGAATAACGATTGGTTAGTTTTATAACTACGGATGTTATTAAATCTGATCAAGAATGCTGTGTAAACGTAGTCATAGATGACACGGTGTGGCACGGTGAATTGTTGCATCCTTATTGTTAATTGCCAATGTTAATTAAGAATGAGGTGATCGCTGTATCTGACATTGCCGCTTGTTGGAAAGCCCCTAATTTCAGTCCGTTTTTAAAATAATGTAATATGAATTAAATAGATAATTATAATGAAAAGGTAAATAATGAAAAATACAATATGTGAGTATAATCAAATTTATGATATAAGGGTGTCTGGATGCTATGACATCAATCATCATAAACAAGTAGAGCGAACTAAATTAAGTTGAAAAAAAAAGTCTTCTATCATTTTGCAGTTGCAGTAATAGAGTTAACGAGATATTAATTTTTAAAGATAGCCGAATAAACACTGTTGCCCGACCTACTACTGCCAAATGTATGCCCATTGATAACTCGGCGCACGGACTGCGGTGAGCGAAGATGTTCTAGCAAGCGCGCCACTCGAGTCATGGTTTTCGGCGTGCGCGGCGCTTACCAGGCAGTAGTAGGCCGGGCAAACTCGTTTATTCGGCTATCTTTAAAAATTAATATCCCGTTAACTCTATTACTGCAACTGCAAAATAGTAGAAGACTTTTCAACTCAATCCGCTCTATCTGTTTATGATGGTTGATGCTACAACATTATAAAAAAATGTAACAGTAGTCATTTATAATAAAAATACCTAGTATACAAGTTTCTAAATTAATCACTGAATTAAGTATATAAGCTTCTGAATTAACGATATAAATGCATCTTTTATAAACAAAAATTTCTTATGTACTATTGCCATCAGTTTGTTTTTACATGTATATGAGTTAAATACTCACATGAAATGATTATAACAAAATGTAAGAGTATCCCTCTACAATATAAGTAAATACAGGGAAAATTATATTTCAATTTACTCTCCAAAAATTTTATTTTGTTTTCAGAAAAAATGTTTTAGACAAAAATTGTCTAGTTCGAAGTGAGACGTATTTTGGTCACGTTGTTCCTTTTCTTGATGGATGCGTCAAAAAAATAAGAAAATTGTCTCCACTTTTTAAAATAGAATTATATAATTTTGTTTACATAATGCGATTTTCAAAAAACAAATAATTTATAAGATATTTGATATTTCATGTCAATATGTGCCATAAAGTATAAAATATCTCACAAATTATTACTTTTTTAATATTTCCACCTTAATACTTTTATATATAGAATTAGAGGAGTTACATTATATTAAAAAATCATATAATTCCATTTAGAAAGGTGGAGATGACCTTTTTTAGCGTCTTTACATAGAGAAAAAACAACGTGACCAAAATATGGCCCCTTTTAAATCAAATAAATTATGTCTAAAACATTTTTTTGTACAATAAAATCAAAAATAAAAAGTTGTATTTGCCATGGAGGAGTAATAAATCAAAATGGAATTTCCTACAGAAGCCTCTAAATTAAATTACAATAGATATCTTTATAAAACTTAAGAATGAATGTAATAATTATTTATGATAAAAATAAACATAAATACTTGCATTAAATCACATTGCATTAGGTGCTGTTTATAAAAATTAAAATATTTGAGCAATCATTAACTGTTAGTTAAATATTCATTTCAGTAAAGCTTATTTATTATGCATTTGAGATTTTCGTTGATTATGCAGCCATGTTTTAATTTGCGGTGCTGTACGATTTTTCAAACATGGAGAATTTTGTATAACCTTATTAATCTGCAGTAAAGAAGGCAACTTTGTAGAATCAATGTATGTTCCAAATGCAGACATAACAGCATTTTTTTCCTCTTCTTTCCAACGAATTCGCCTTGTAGGACCATATGGTGATGCTAAAAATTTTATATTTATGTTATTGTAAATATGAAAAAACAATAAACTAATGATAAACAGCAAAAAATAATAATTTTTATAACTTAACTTATTGCACAATGTATTTAACAATGCTGTTTCAAATACGTTATACGACGATTAATGTGTCACGTCAAAATAGAATAAATTAAATATAAATTTCATAATTTAATTTAATTACTTACTAGAACGGCGTTTTATTTTTATAGGTTTATCCTTTACTGACTGTTTATTTGGATTGAACGATCTCTTTGATTCTATTTTGTTGGTAACTGCTATATGATAAAAAGTGTATATTAAACTTCAAAATTAATATGTAATATGTAAATTATTAATATGTAGTTTTATTTTTATTTTATATATATAACAATATTTGTATTATATTTCCCATCCTTATTATTCAAAACTCTAACTAACTATTAATCATAACATACTATTTATAAATAATAAACTTTATAATTTTTTGTAACCATTTTGTAGTAATTTGTTAAAATTTATGTTTACTTACAGCAGCGTTTCTCTTTTAGAACACTTTTACAGTCGTGTAATGAATCTTCACTTTTATTAGATGATGAAACTGATGTGTTAATCTGATATTCATCTGAAATAAATCATCATATCACTATAGCAGATCTAAGATTTAATTGCAGCCGTTGTTCGAAATAGACATATTTATTATTTATCTTTCTGATACCCTAATAACTAAATCGCTGAATTCGTAAGTAATTGAAGCGTTCGCGCTTTGTCTCAGGAGTAGTTACAAATTTAATAACATTTAAATTTTTGCGTGAATTGCTAAGGCTCTCTAGTTAAAATGTTTAAGTCTTAAATCTCTTTAAAGGTACAAATGATTGCAAATTTTTGTTTGTTTAACATTTTGTATAATAATAATGCGAAAATGCGCAACAAAAAAGATTGAAATTAACTGTAAAAAGAAAACAGATAGTGAAGAGAGAATATTACATTTTATATATAGTATTACAAGAACTTTGAGATTAGTATAGAAAATATACAGATATATACAAAAAACTTAATTTTAATTATTATCAAATTAGATTTAAAGAATATAAACATTTTAATCAAGTACTTAGTATTTAGAAGAGTATAATCACAATAAACTTGAAATATAATCACTTCTGAGGCAAAGCACGAGCACGTTAGTTACGCACATTTGATAGTTTGATTGTTGAAATTTCAAAAGAAGAAAATAGTCAATCATAAGTTGATAAATCCAAATTCTATGCTATAGCTCATATATGTACAAAAAAGGCATCAATACTGGTATAAGTATACAAAAGTATTTTCTCATTTCTTACACATTGCACTATATTAATACTGATAAAAACCGCTTGAACAATTAAAGAAATAAAAATCTATAATTTATACGTTTACAGTTTTTTCTACATAAAATCCATTAAAAATAAATCTAACCAAATCTGATCTTTATACACAAATATTTCTTGCGAAACAGCATAAAATATCTGTATAAATTGATAAAAAATATTTTATAATTAGAAATGCTTTTAGAAATTCTCATGAACATTAATCAGTATAGATGACGCATATTAAAAGAAAAAAAAGAAAAATATAACTTACTATACCAATTTCGGGGTTCAATTTCTCTCTCTCTCTCTCTCTCTCTCTCTCTCTCTCTCACACTTTCTCAAACGTTTTCAATTATATTATAAAAATGTTAATTATTGCAAAATACGAATCAATATTCTAAAAATTGCTAAAGGTATTCATGTTTATAAAGTTTTATTGTTAGCTTTTCTTTAAGAAATATAAACTAAAATAAAGTAGTATACCACTCTCTATCAAAGAATCAAAATATTGTATTCATCTGATCCTTCTTTCTATTATACAAAAATTTCTTGTTCAATTATTGTACTTACAACCATAATTCAAGTAACTATAGCTTTGAATATATTGACAAATCCAAAATATAAAGTTACAAGATGCGCACAAACATAAAATTCATAAAAATTGTAACTAAATGCTGATTAATTTTTTTACTCACCAAAAGAGATTGATCGATTTTTCTCATTATCAGTGTCATTACATAAATATTCATTTCCATTGTACTCAGATTCAGATTCGTCTAGAACATGGCCAGATATAATTTTTATGAATAGCGGAACAAAATAATATTAAAATAAACACTGACTTTTATAAATAACAAACTTATATTTCTGCATAAAATATTAAAATTTATGTTTTTTAAGTAAATTTAAGACATTTTTATAAAAGAAATTCAAATTATATTAATAATTTCTGAAATCAAATAAAAATTAAGATCAATATCTTTATTCTTTATTTAATAGGAAGAAATCGAAGTTTATACTTATATATATCACATTAAAAATATTAACTTTAGTGAATGTGTATACACTTATTAGTCAATGTTTATGTATAGCGAACATATACATTGATTATAGCAGCCTTCAGTGAGTGCCCATACAGAACATAATATCTGTTAGATATCTATTCGATATCCTCATATCCATGATAGGATATCCATAAATCTCTAATAAATAGCTAGTAGACATCCTCTATACATCCAAATGTTCGCAATACGAGATCTCAGAAATATCCATAA